CTTTCTAAGTGGGAGAACTTGCACAATTGGTGGCTGACTAAATACTTTTTTGCCCCACTGTATTTCCATGGGTCCCAAGCAACAAACTATCCATCACACACAATGCAGATAGTGAATCCTTACTCATACCCATCCCTTACCCTAGGTTCACACCTAAGTGTTTTCTGCAGTGTTTTGCAGAAATGCAGTACAGTCCATTTAACATGATTTCCTATGGGACAGATTCACATCTCTGCGTTTTCACCCGGTGCGATTTCTGGAACGGGTCAGGGACTTTTTTAATCATTGCTAGACTAGATGAGTGTACAGGATTGTATGTACACCTAAAACATTCAATTGTTGGCTGAAAGGTGTTAACCTATTGTCAATGAGGGATTGGTCACATCTTGCTGTGTGTATGTCTGTGATTAAAAAGTAGTGGTGGGTTAAACGAGCTCTAGGTAGATAAGTAAGCTGCTAGCATAAAGGTCAAACCTCAGATCCTTATAAACATCAACAATTGTAAAATGCAGCGCTAATAAACTAATGAGTAAAATAATAATGATAATTCATAGACATTAAAAATGTGTGCTGTGGAGCACTAGGGATATTCCTGAAAGTAGCAACTTAATATGACGCATAAAGTGCAATGATGACACAAATATATAAAACATCCAATAAAACAAATAATAAAACGTCCAATAAAACAAATAATAAAATGTCCAATAAAACAAATATGGGTGAATTCTGTGACTCCGGTGGATGGAAAAACGAGTATATATTGCACTAACCAGAAAGTGCAATAATATGCACATTTGAGTAAATGACACCACTCCTGGTCATCCGTATCCTGAAGGCAACTCAGTCGATCATCTGGTACACGTCAGCACATCAGGTGATCATCCGACTGCTAATCTCCAGGTTCCAGGATAAATCCCATCCAGTGTAAATGGACCAGTATTGGGCCAAAAGGTGAAACCGGGAATCCACCTTGAATGGCTATGTTTCAGTTTAAGTAGGTGCCATGACTGCTGCCCCACGTGTCCTGTTTCAGGGGGGTTTCTTTCTCTTGCAGCGTCCTCTGAAGTCACCCTTGCCAGCAGGGTCTAGAGTTGTCTCTACACTAAGTTTCTCACTGACACCTGGTGTGCGTCTCGAGGGTTTATGGCTGATGTGGAGAAAATACACTTTTTGGTTTTGTTTGCTCAGAATCTTAATAGGTTCTGTTTGGGTCCTGGATTCTTTATAGAACTTTGGGTAGGATTCTGAGCAAACAAAACCAAAAAATTTATTTTGGTTTAACCACTTGCCGCCCTGCCACTGTAGAAATACGGCGGCAGGGCGGCACGGGCAGGCAAAACCACGTTTTAAAACGTGTTTTGTAAACAGATAGGGGGCGCGCGCGAGGCGCGCCGCCACCCTATCTGTCCCGCCGATCACTGCCGCGGATGTCAGTCGCCAGGTCACAGCCGGTCCTTACCGGCTGTTTTCCGGCGATCGGCGGCAAACAGTGACAGACAGCACAGCTGCAGTAGCTGTGCTGTCTGTCACTTCCCTGACAGCTCGAGGACGAGCTGATCGAATAAGAAGAGTTTCTCTCTCTCGATCAGCGGTGTCCCATGCAGCACACACCCCCGCCCCCTAGTAAAACACTCCCCCTCACACAGATAACCCTTCCCTGCAAAATAAAGTTAACCCCTTCCTCCCCAGTGCCATTAGTACAGTGTCAGTGTTTTTTTTTTTTTGCACTGATCACTGTATTAGTGTTTTTGGGGATGTCAGTGACCCCAAGTCAGTACCCCCCAATGACAGAATGTCCGCCGCAGTCCCCCGCCATAAGTCGCTGGTCGCTGCCATAAGTCACTGATCGCCACCAAAATTCGCTGATCGCCGCCATTATTAGTATATAAAAAAACTAAAAATCCCAGTATCTTTCCCGCCATTTGTAAACGCTATAACATTCACGAAAAACAATTAATTTACACGTATTGGTTTTTAGCAAAGACATGTCGCAGAATGCATTTTGGCAGAAATTTATGACTAAATTTGATTTTTGCATTTTTTTTTTTACTGGACATGTTTTATAGCAAAAAGTCCAAAATATTGATTTTCTTCCTCAAAATTGTCAGCCTTTTTTTTATTGCGCAAAAAAATAAAAACCGCACAGGCAGTCAAATACCACCAAAGGAAAGCTCAATTTGTGGGGAAAAAAAGGATGTAAATTTCATTTATGTAACGTATTGCATGACCGCGCAATTGTCCGTTAAACTAGCGCAGCGCTGTATAGCAGAAAAATGGTGTAAATTGCAGTATCTATGCCATAGTTTGTAGACGCTATAACTTCCACACAAAGCAATCAATATACACTTATTGGGATTTTTTTTACCAAAAACATGTAGCAGAATACATTTTGGCCTAAATTTATAACGAACTTTGAGTTTACTATATATTTTTTGTAGCTGAAAGTAAAAAATATTGTTTTTCTTCAAAATTTTTGGCCTTTTTTTGCTTATAGCGTGAAAAATAAAAAGCGCACAGGTGATCAAATACCACCGAAAGAAAGCTCTATTTGTGTAAAAAAAAGGACGTAAATTTCGTTTGGGTGCAGCATTGCATGACTGCGCAATTATCAGTTGAATTAGTGCAGCGCTGAGTAGCAAAAAGAGGCCTGGTCATTAAGGGGGGTAAATCCTCTGGAGCTCATGTGGTTAAAGAATACCCAATCACGTACAAGGAAAACGAAAAAAAAAAAAAAAAAAAACAGCACTTTTGCTTACAAATGATTGGATGATGGAAGTCAGCAGAGCTTCCCCTCATTTACCCTGGGTTCACATCTGTGCCGGATGTGCCGCTGTGGATCCACTTGAAAATCCATACAGCCGCACCACCTGCACAGAGAAATGTGGACTCGTGGGGGGGTGCCATTAATTCTAATGGCACGTCGCCCGCACTGGAAAACACAACCATACTAGGAACCGAGATTTCCGTGCGGGCTGTATTATCCAAAGTGAAGGGACTTCTTCCCTGCATGTCACGGGCACAGGAGTCCATTCATATGAGTGGGCTCTTCTGCCGATGCCAAACGCAGCCCGCACGGCCGCATAGGTGTGAACCGGGGGTAAGTAAGCTCTGGAGCAACTGCACTTGCAAAGTGCACAGTCTATTTGCCTTTAGTAAATCCACTCCATGCTTGTATACATGTTTTTACAGATAAAACGTTCATTTATACATGTGCACACATGAAATCTGCAGAAATCTGTACAGCCTTGGACGCAGCTACTTCCTACTTTTTTGATGCATACAACAGTATATATACATCTAAATCTGGCCTTTTAGATGCCCGTGTGAATGAGCCAATGGAGTCTATTCACTATGATATATGAGTTAAATACTTTAAAGCTGAAATGTTTTTCTTTCTCCCAAAATAATCCATACACATCTACTATTTATTGGCCCCGTAATCTATTTTTCATGAAAACGTTTCTGTCTGTGTTTTTGTGTCTGCTTGTCCTGAACCTCACATTTTCGCCCTCACTTTTGTTTGTTTGGACCGAGCAGTGCACATAAGTTGTGGTCATGTGTACTGCTCTATGCACGCTACACATCCTACACCCCATAGTTCATACTCAATATCAGGAGCAAGCAAGAGAGGATAGCTATCTTCCTACATATTGTGGCACTATGGAGAATGACTGTAGCCACTCTCTAACAGGAGGTCAGACCACGGCAGCAAAAAAAGGGAATTTGGAGATTTGAAGGAGACTGAGCGCAATAGAAGGGACTTTTTAAAGTTATGCGGAGCCATACAAAGCAGTGTGCAGGAGCTGACGGGAGAGATCTGTGTTGTTTATACACAGGTCTCTCCCCCATCGGAGATACTTGCCAATCACTGGGTGCCGGCAGGGAATCACCGGCCGGGTCCTGATGATTGACAGCCAGGGCTGCGAATGGCGGCGCGGATAGGGTGCACATGGCTCCTACCCAAAACTACAAAATCATGTATATACACATGATTTTGCGCACCCGTGACACCCTGTAGCAGTATTTCTGCGGAAGCAGTTAAACTCACTTACTGCCTTATCTGCAATAAATTAGCCTCAGAAGCTGTGTAATGAATATGTGTTGGATTTAACCTCTTGGCGCCGGTCGAAGACAAATGTGTGGCCTCCTAGTGTCTGGGCTTAGACGCCGAATTGCCGCACAATTGCGTTCTATTAAAAAAAAAAACATATGTGCTGAAAGCGTGCTCCCTGCACACATGTTCGGTACTCACGGAAAAGTCCCGATCTCCTCTTTCGATCGGGACCTTTCCCGATCATGTGACCACTGTGACAGCGAGTCACAGCAGTCACATGACCCTAAAACCCCGCTCGCCTCCTGGCTTCTGGAACCCTTAAAGGGCCGGGAGGCACCGGCGCCAAGGGGCTAAAGGGATGAGGTTGCAACCCTACGCCCACCTAAAGTTCACAATACAGCTGTTAATAGCTGCTGCAATTTTAACTAGGCATGTCAAGTTGACTGACGGCACCACCTGTCAAACTCACCCATTCAAGTCACTGGGGCTGTGCTGCAACCACAAGTCAAGCGCTTGGCTGGTGGTTGCGATGTATTAGTCCTCATGCACACAGGACGTTTTGATAATGCTGGTAACAGCTGGGCAAAGTCATATTAAAAATGTGAGTTTAGCTTTTTTTAGCGTTTTTGCATTAGCGTTTAATGGCGTTTTCCCGCGTTTTTCTGCCTTTGCAGTTTTTAGCGTTTTTTTTTTTTTTCTCAAAAAAATAAATGTTTTTTTTTTGGGGGGAGGGGGCAAAAAAGTCCAAAAAAACACCGGTTTGCAGCATTTTTCTGTGTTTTGCCGTGTTTTTCAGCGTTAGAGCGTTTTTACACCTAAAAAACGAGTTTTTTAGGTGTAAATCCACTAGTCCTAGGTTTTTTTTTCCAGCCAAAAAACATCCCAGCCAAAAAAGATTACAGTCTATGTGTGCATGGACACATAGGATAAAATGCTGGGGGCAGGGGCAGGGGCAGACTGACCATTTGGAAACTCGGGCATTGCCTGAGGGCCCGGGGTCAGTAGGGGGCCCCATGAGATGCCCCTGGTACCTTTTACATAGGGTTTTTTGAGTTTGGGCAAGTACACATGGGCCCCATGATCCCCTATTGCCCGGGGGCCCCATGAGTTGTCAGTCCGCCCCTGCCTGGGGGGTTACTGGCTGTAGAAAAAAACATCAAAAGCCAAAAACAGCAGCTGTAAAAATGTCCAATGTGCATGAGGACTGAGCCCTATTATAAATTGCCTAGCCGCACTCTGAAAAGGGACTCATGGATGCTTGTTTTCCAGACGATGGGCTAGTCTTAGGAGGATAGGGAGCATCAAGTCTGTGGAATTCCAAGCTCTAAAAATGGTGTCACCCTCCTCATGCAGCAGCAGAGCAGGGTCAGTAGATCAGTATGGAAATGGTTTAGCAGGTCAGCAATTCCCTTATGTGTGTTTTATTTCTCTATCTACCTGTTTGCCTGGAGTTGCTCTTTTTATATATTCCACATTCTGTTTGCACATTGCTCATATTTTATTAAAAAGAAATCTGCTAAGCACAATACTATTTACAACATCTGCACAGCTTTAGGTGTCTAAAAACCTGCAAACACAGCACATTGGTTTTCCTGCTGATATCCGAAGAAATTGAAGCTGTCACACAGAATTTACAAGGAACGGTGCAGAATTTCTGTACAAATGCCGCGGCTTCATTCCGAGATCAAGGAGATGTCAGGGGGAAAGGCACCCCAGAAATGACAATGTTATTTCAGAATGAAAGCAGAATTTCCTGTGGTGGATCATAAGAGCTAAGGGTGTGAACTATACATGCTGATCTGGAACAGATGACATATCGAATGTTTTTTTCATGTCATCGTGGTTCTAGTTGAGAGCCACATAAAAGGTGTAAGGAGACAGCAAGCCCTATAAAATGAGGCAGATACATTGTCCCTGTTTAACCACTTCAAGTCCGGACACTTTTACCCCCTTCCTGTCCAGGCTAATTTTCAGCTTTCAGCGCTATCACACTTTGAATGACAATTGCGCGGTCATGCAACACTGTACCCATATGAATTTTTTAGCATTTTTTTGAGACAGATAAAGCTTTATTTTGGTGGTATTTATTCACCACTGGGATTTTTATTTTTTTTGCTATATAAATGAAAAAGTCCAACAATTTTGAAAAAAAGTGTTTTTCTTATAAACTTTTGCAAATAAATAATATTTCATAATAAATAAAATGTTTACATTATTTAATTTTTTTATATTATTATTTATGTTTTTTTTTACATACAGTCACCCTAGCAGTACAGTGTCACCATGGTGACACTGTACTACTTGTGGGGGGTGATGATTTTTTTTTTTTTACACTGATTGCTTTTACACCCATAAAGAATGTAATACCAATCATTTCTCCTTCTCTCTGGCTGCATTCTTGCAGCCATTGGGAAATGCTGTGTGAGCTGTGTTTGGTCACAGCTTGTCACATGGTACAAGTCTTTTGTGAATAGCCTTGTACCATGTGACCTCTGTGATCATTCACAGATTTCACACATAGTAAGCAATGATGTCAGAAGTGACATCTTGCTTACTACTCTTCATGTGATCACTGATTGGCCAATCGGTGATCACATGATCGGGACCTCGCAGAGAGGTCCCATACGACGATCGGTGTTCCACTGTGTCCGGAGGACACAGCGGGCACTGGATCACAGTGCTGCGTGATCCCTGGGAGCGCATACAGCTTGAAAATGCGGGTGCCGTTTGTGAACAGCAACCCGCCCCTGGACTGCCACCGGCCTGCCGTTTATAAACAGCGGCCGGACGGGCAGTGGTTAATATAGTGGAGTCCTCATTAGTGGTGGGTCTCAGGGGCGGACTGACCATTTCGAAACTCGGGCACTGCCCAGGGTTAGTAGGGGGCCCCATGAGATGCCCCTGGTACCTTTTTCATAGGCTTTTTTGAGTTTGGGCAAGGACACAGGGGCCCCATGATCCCTATTGCCCGGGGGCCCCATGAGTTGTTAGTCCGCCCCTGGTGGGTCTAGATCAACCTATCAATCATTTACCCCAGAGGTACCCCTAAAATAATTTTCAGATCTTGGAGAACCCCTACTAAAACCAATTCCTCTGGGGTCCATGGGAAAAATGCCCCTTACATTGGTGGTTTGTAGAACCCTTACAGACTATTAAAAATATTATTGGTGTCCTGCAGGTGGCTTTGGCTGTGGAACTATGCAGACATCAAGTGGGAGGACAATCAGCCACAGTTCAAGGAAACCCTAACAACCTCTGGAGGAACCCTGGTGGAGAATGGCTGGTACAGAGTCTTTGACATCAGGACCTGTTCTCTATCAGGTTGCTATTGTTCTCATGTATGCTGACACCCAGTTGTGGTTTGAGGCAGCCACTACAGCTTATTTACTTATGTGATTTGGTATCTCCCTCTGCCCTCCCCTACTGTTCCGTGCTAGTTAGCTCACTCCTAGTTACACCATGTTTCCTGGGTCAGTATTAGACTTCACAGAGAAAGGATGTAGGAGAGTCACTGACTTTTTAAACTTCAAAAATCTTCTGTACTGCAATTAGCTGAAGTAAAATTGCTGTAGATTCAACTTCTGTGTCTTATTTAAGAGTTAAGCTGCCTGTGGATTTGTCCAAGTCAGCAGTTGACCATACATACTGTCCAGGCAGACTAGATCCATGGAGGTATGTCAATGCATAAAGTGACATTTGAAGCATAACAAGATTTAGGAGTTTACATGAGAAAATAAGGCTTTGATCACAATGTACATGGCAGTGTCAGGATCACAAAACCTGATTCTGGGACTCCAGCTGAATTTGGACTCTGGGCGTATGTTTTCCCATTTTGGAGCAGATCCAGCCTTCCACCTTATTCATTCCTCTGACTCCACTCAGGTTTATACCTGCCCCCTCTCCACCTGCGATTCTGAAATCTTCTCATTTAGGGCCAGTTCACACCACATGTAGTCCAGTGCGTCATTTTTCTGCATCAAAAATGCATTGATAGTAGGTTACATAGTTTCCAATGGCATAGTTCACACCTATGCGGTCAGTTCCAGTGCATTCCAGTTTCAGAAAAAAAAAAGTAGAACATGCAGCACTTTTTCTGCACTGAACTGTACTGGAATGCAATAAAACGCATCAAAAAGCACCGCAATGCATCTAGACGCACCAAAAATGCACTGGAACTCACATGTCCTTTGAGGAAAGAGAGCGGGGAAAAAATTAACTGAAAAGCATCAAACACGCATCAAAAAGGTGCATACAGAAATGCACCCGGAATGCATCCACACTGCGTTTCTATGGTGTGAACTGGCCCTTAAGCCTAGTACACACAATGACAATTTCGGGGAAATGATCGTCCATTTTTTTTTTTTTTGCATGCTACCCTCATAGCGAAAATGAAGAGGTTCCTAATATTATAAAACAGAATACAACTTTGAAAGTGATGCATTGTATTGTAATGTATTCTTTAGTTTCCAACCATGTGCAATTTTGGTCACTCAATTCTTTTGGTATTTATTTATTTTATTATTTTTTCAGGTACTTATATAACGCTGTCAATTTACACAGCACTTTACATATATATTGTACATTCACATCAGTCCCTAACCCTCAAGGGGCATACAATCTAAGGTCCCTAACTTACATTCATACATACACATATTAGGGCCAATTTAGACAGGATCCAATTAACCTGCCAAATAACCTACCAGCATGTCTTTGGAGGGTGGGAGGAAACCGGAGTACCGGGAGGAATCCGGAGTACCGGAAGGAAACCCACGCATGCACAATGAGAACATGCAAACTCCAGGCAGGTGGTTTGGATTTGAACCGGCAACCCTAGTACTGCCAGGCAGAAGTGCTAACCACTTAGCCACTCTGCTGCCCAAAAAATACTATATTAATTACATGAAAATCATTAATTCTGTTATCTTACGAGGACATTTTTCGTGCTTGTCCCTGAGGATACTTTCACATCAACTGTCGCGATCGGCTCTCGAAAGCTGTGTACTAACCTAAGGGATCATGTACACTGCAGCTCCTAAACCGACGTTCAGGAGCTGTTCAGCGATTTTTCAGCAGCCCCTGAAGTCTCCATCATGTTTTCCTATGTGTACATATCGTTATTTACAGGCAGTTGAGTTTACAGTCATTTTTTTGAATGCACCAAACTTGCGTTCAGGAGTAGATTTTACTGGCATTTCAAATGCCAAGCGCTTGTAAACGCAGTTAACCGCATTTAAAAGCATTTTTTAACTGTTCCGTGTCCAGATGCTATCCAGATCCTTTTATCATCATCAGAAATGCATGCAAAGCATTTTCCATGTATTTAAATGGACCCGGTACACCAGTGCAGTCCGTTCCAGGTTTTCCGTGAAGGAAAAAATGGTAGAACGTGCCACATTATGCTCATGATGGGATCCATAGTGAATACAACCAGAAAAGACAGGTCATCTCAACACATACTGCTCTCTCTGCTTCTGCTCTCTCTATTTCTCCCAAAATGTCTGAAATAGTTAATTATTTACTTTTTTTTTCAGCTCGCCAGCTGATCAAAAAACAATCCATTTATGACCAGCTTACAGCGGTAGTAAAGTTTGCTTTTTCACTTGTATCTACAGGTAAACCGATATCCACTTGAGTTTCGGAAGATTTTGCCCCCTTCATAGCCAGGTCCTTTTGCTATTCAGCACTATGGTACTTTAACTGGCAACGCTTTACCCACACAATTTTTCACACAGAGAGCTTTCTTTTGGTGGTATTTAATCACCACTGAGTTTTTTTTTTAATGATTAGTGATCAGTGCTTTTATTACACATCAATTTGTTTCTTTTCCCTGCTTTGCAGGGAAAAGAAGCAAAGCAATTGTTCCCTCTGTATCAATGTCATGTGTTGTTTATCAACACAAGGCTCTAGACCAGGGTTCCTCAACTAGGGTTCCTCCAGAGGTTGCTAGGGGTTCCTTAAGCAATGAGCAATAACCGTCTCTCAGATAAGTTCCCCCTGACAAGTTCCCCCTGACACCATTGATATTTTTAGCTATCTATAAGGGGGTAATTCTTCTCAATGACCACAAGTGTAAGGAGCATTCATCCCACTGACCATCACATGAATGTATCATTTATTTATTTCAGGTACTTATATAGCGCCGTCAATTTACGCAGCGCTTTACATATATATTATACATTCACATCAGTCCCTAACCCTCAAGGGGTGTACAATCTAAGGTCCCTAACTCACATTCATACATACACATACGAGGGCCAATTTAGACAGGATCCAATTAACCTACCAGCATGTCTTTGGAGTGCTGGAGGAAACCGGAGTACCCGGAGGAAACCCACACAGGCACAGGGAGAACAGGCAAACTCCAGGCAGGTGGTGCCGTGGCTGGGATTCGAACCAACGACCCTAGTGCTGCCATGAGCTGTAGATACAGTAATTTTTAGCAGGGGTTCCCCGAGACCAAAAAGTTATTCCAAGGGTTCCTCTGTGTTCAAAAGGTTGAGAAAGGCTGCTCTAGACTGTGATTCGGCACAGACAATCAGTGGGTCCCGGCCTTGTGTTATTGGCCAGGATCTGTTGACGAAGTCCCACTGTGTCAAATCACAGTGAGAGTAGACAGGCAGGTGTGCGCATGCGTGCCCGAAACCCAGAAACCCATCAAAGTCACTGTGGCGGGTCAGCAAGAGGATAGTAAGGCTTACCTGTAGGTACAGTGAATAACTCCCAAGCGTGCACCATTTAGGAGCTATTCCCATTTGTAGTAGCCAGTGACATCACCGGCACACTGCACTCTGAATAGACGGCACACTTGAGTGTTTCGCTGCAATTGTGGCGCCATTTGAAGCCAGGCCAATCAAGCAGCCGAAACACGAGAGCCTGGAAAAAAGACTGGGGAAGGATGGAAGCCCTGTCAGTGGGGGGGGGGGGGGGGGGCTTTTTTTTTTTTTAAAGAGAGTTTACTACTAGTTTACTACTAGTTTACTGGATGGGAAGCAGGCAATTTAAACTAGGGCATGCAGACACTGAGAGCTGTTCATGATGCCCCATGAGTTGTCAGTCCGCCCCTGGGCTGTACTCATACCATGGCCAAGATGATTTGCTTTATGGCAAAAAATGAAATGGCATGTTGCATTCAGCAGACGGTACCACTGCAGAGTGCGACCCATCCATCTGAATGCGGTCATGCTGCAACGCAGGCAGTTACAGTGTTGTGGACTGGCATTTTCAGGGTGAAAACAGGCAGCGTGGAGGCAATATATCACCTTCACACTGCCTGTCAAATGTCTCTGAAAAGCAATGCACTGCAGATTGCTGTTCAGAGGGGCAGCAAGGGCTGCTGCGCGTATAATGGAGCCCTAAGACATACTCAGTCTCAGTTATATTCTAACATACATTTTATTTAATTACGGTGTTTCTGCATTGTGAAATAACTGCAGCATGAATCATCACTTCAAATATAAAGAAAGAAAGATGCAGCGTTGGGCTCGCTGGTGTTTGGTAGAAGGACTAATAAGAGAAGACAGCAGAAGAGTGATGACATAGAGAAGGCAGGTAATAGAGTGGAATGATGTTTGTGGGCAGAGTGGGAAAATCAGAAAGACAGCCATCTGGGAGGGGTGTCATAAAAGAAGTATGGTGGATGCCATCATTGACCTCTGTCTAAAAATGCTAATTGTCTGGCTGCTATTCTGGTCCACTGGCTTCGATACTTTTTGAGTCACTGACCCAGAGTCCTGATCCGCATGCTTGTTACACGTCACTGCCTCAAACTATTAGTGCCAGAGCAATTTTTTTAAGGGAACTGTCAAAAATGACAGGCTGGAACTCCTCTTTTCTTTAGCCTGGATTCACACTGATGTGATGGGGAATTCACAGCGGTTTCTGTGCCAATTCCGCACCGCATCACAATCGCACCCCGTTCATGCGAACTGCTACGGGTGTGCATGTTAACAACACCCTAAAATCGGTTCGCAAAACGTGGAGCGAAGTGCAGAATCGGATTGCATGGGAGTGAATACCCATGCAATCTGATTCTAGTGAGGACCACAAAAAGGGTCCTGCAACTTTTTGGTGCGGATGCGGTGCGCTTTGAGCCATACAAAATGTATGGCTCAAATCGCATCACACAGAGTTCGCATGTGACTTGCACAGGAATGCGGTGTGGTTCCTGTGCAAATCACAGGCGATATGCCGCACTCAGGGGCAGACTGACCATTTAGGCAGTCATTAGGGGTCAGTAGGGGGCCCCATGAGATGCCCCTGGTACCTTTCATAGGCTTTTTTAGGTGTGGTTTGAGTGTGGTCACGGACACAGCGGCCCCATGATTTCCTATTGCCCGGGGGCCCCATGAGTTGTCAGTCCGCCCCTGGCCACACCGCATCAGTGTGAACGCAGGCTAAATGTGCTAAATAATGGGTAAATGCATTGGGGTTGTTTTACTAAAACTGGAGAGTATAAAATCTGATGCAGCTGTGCATGGTAGGCAAACAGCTTCTAACTTCATCTTGATCAATTACACCCCGGTCACATCGGGTGTGATTTGGAATGCCATTTGCATGCCATGCGACTTGCAAATCGTATGCCAAGTCACACACTATTGTCCACTATTAGAGTGGTCATATCGGTGCGGTTCTGACTTGGTCGGGGCCGCAGCGATTTCTAAAGTAGTGCATGCACTACTTTTAGATACATATATGTGCAGCTCTAAAAGTGGATTCACGTAAATGACTATCATCTCAAGGATATATAAAGTGCTTGTTGATATTGAAATACGGTGCTAATAATCCGGAATAAATACCTAATATATATAAAGTGCTTTGTGATATCTAAATAAAGTGCTATTTAACCGGAAAAATATGATGTCATAAATAATGGTGGATTATCAAAGCAATGAATAAATATGAATGTCCAAGCAAATGGAATTAAAGATAAATAAAAGTTCCAATAATCAATAATCTGGATAAAGGTGAATCTTGTTATCCTAGTAGTATGCAATCAAATATTCCGGTGACGTGCGGGGTATAGTAAAAATGCACACTCACCAGATGCGCATTTTAAATGCGCAGTATGTTAATATGTGGTAATCAGCCAGAGGTCCCCTTTACGGTAGGATGGAATACAGCCTGGGATGGATGACCCTCCTCTGGAGTCTGGGGTGGTAAGAAGCCAGCCAGAGGTCCCCTTTAGGATAAGCTGGAATATGGCCTGATGTGGATCTCCCTCCTCTGGACACTGGGATGGTCTCCTGGGTTTCTGGGAAATTAAATGCTCGGTGCAGAGCAAAAAAGGATGGTGCCCATAGTGTAGTAATTTAGAATTAATATAGAGTTTTATTTGTACAAAGGTTAAAATCCAGACAGTATCCGTATGTATAGGAATACATGCAGCTAAAGCTGCCTAATACACTGACCAGCTGGTAGGCAAAGGTGGCCGCCGGACCTCCGTGATCCAGCGGCGTGACGTCATGGCGTGCAGGCTCCTCCTTAAGGCTCCTGCGGGGGTAGCACTATCCTGCTTCAAATTTCACAACAGAAACTGAAGTCTGATTTTAGTCCTTTCTAAGGGCCACATTCAAACGAGCAAGTTTGTAGCAGCTACATTTTTACTTTTTTTGTGATTTGTAGCTACCGCAGAGTAGCTGATGAAAATGCTTATCCACGCAGCCTCAAATCGCTTGCTCTATAAGCATCAACATTTGTATTGGATAACATAAGTAAGTACTGTAATCAATCGATCAGCAATCGATCGATGATGTAGATATTTAAAAACGTAGATACATTAGTGTACGTAGTCTTGTCACCTGTGCATTTTAAAGCCTATTGGACCCTTAAAGCTACCAAAAACAACCTTAAAGCGGACCTTTACCCGTTAAGCACAAAAAATGCATGGTGCATGGAGCTCTGCGTGTCCATCGATGGACATCCTAAATGTCATTTGTGCAATCAACTCATTCTTAAACTTACATTTTAGTTTTGTATTTTCTGATTTCACCGAGACTTGTTTTTGAGCAATAACAGCCTGCCCCAGATCTTGTATGACCCATAGATCAGGGCGCGGCAGCATTGGTGGGCCATCACACAGCAAGGAAGAAGTCACCCACCAATGACCTCCAGGTTTGAAAATGGTGAGATGGAATACGAGAAGGAGGAAGAGCGGTGCGTGTGTTATGTGGCAATACATTAAGGGATAGATCACACCACAATCCCTGCGTTTAGTGAGTACTTTCACATATGCGTTTACATGCATTTTAATGTGCCTGTAGTGCATTTTTTATGTGTTCCATTGCACTTTTTCCTTTTTTTTACTTGAAAGATGAATTTCTGTGTGTCCAGTGTGTTTACATGCATTTACATGGTTTAAAGTGCAAAAAATGAATGCCGCTGTACTTCTTTGTTTAATGCAGTGGTGTGAACTAGAGCCCTAACCCCACTTATTAACTTGTCCGAACCCTAGTTACTAACCTATCCTAGCTCTACTTACTGACTTGTCCTAACTCTACTTATTAACTTGCTCTAACCCTACTTACTGACTTTTCAAAACCCCACTTATATGTTCTAACCCCACATACTAACTTGTCCTAACCCTACCTATTAACCTTTCCTAACCCCACCTACTGGCTTGTCCTAACCCCACTTACTGGCCTGTCCTAACCTTAGTTACTGACCTGTCCTTACCCCGCTTACTGACTTGTCCTTACCCCACTTATTAACTAGTCCTAACCCTACCTATTGACCTTTCCTAACCCCACTTACTGACTTGTCCTAACCCTATTTACTGACCTGTCCTTGCCCTAGTTACTGACATGTCCTTACCCCACTTACTGACATGTCCTTACCCCACTTACTGACATGTCCTTACCCCACTTACTGACCTGTCCTTACCCCACTTACTGACCTGTCCTAACCCTATTTACTGACCTGTCCTTGCCCTAGTTACTGACATGTCCTTACCCCACTTACTGACCTGTCCTTACCCCACATACTAACTTGTCCTAACCCTACCTATTAACCTTTCCTAACCCCACCTACTGGCTTGTCCTAACCCCACTTACTGGCCTGTCCTAACCTTAGTTACTGACCTGTCCTTACCCCCCACTTACTGACTTGTCCTTACCCCACTTATTAACTAGTCCTAACCCTACCTATTGACCTTTCCTAACCCCACTTACTGACTTGTCCTAACCCTATTTACTGACCTGTCCTTGCCCTAGTTACTGACATGTCCTTACCCCACTTACTGACCTGTCCTTACCCCACATACTGACTTGTCCTAACCCCACTTACTGACTTGTCCTAACCCCACCTATTGGCTTGTTCTAACCCTAGTTACTGACTTGTCCTAACCCCACTTACTGACTTGTCCTAACCCCACCTATTGGCTTGTTCTAACCCTAGTTACTGACTTGTCCTAACCCCACTTACTGACTTGAGTTGATCTTGGCTTAAATTTTAGCTATCAGAACTTTTTGTTGCTCTCTGTCATAGCCAGTCTGTGTTCATATGAAAGTTGGTGTATTATGAGAAATGGTGTGTCCGCCGTTTGTGTCCAAACTCAATTTACTGACTTGTCCTTATCCCATTTACTCACTTGTCCTTATTCCATTCACTGACTTGTCCTAACCCCACTTATCTGTTCTAACCCCACATACTGACTTGTTCCAACCTTACTTATTGATTTGTCTTAACCCCATTTACTGACTTATCCAAACCCCACTCCCACGTACTGACTTGTCCAACTGCCACATACTGACTTGTACCCCATGTACTGACTTGTCTTTACCCCATGTACTGACTTGTCCTTACCCCATGTACTGACTTGTCCTACTCCCACGTACTGACTTGTCCTTACCCCACGTACTGACTTGTCCTTACCCCACGTACTGACTTGTCCTAACCCCACTTAATGACTTGCCCTATCCCCACGTACTGACTTATCCTAACCCTACATATTGACTTGTCCTAACCCCACTTACTGACTTGTTCTAACCCTATTATTGACTTGTCCTAACCCCACGTACTGACTTGTCCTAACCCCACGTACTGACTTGTCCTTACCCCACATACTGACTTGTCCTAACCCCACATACTGACTTGTCCTAACCCCACGTACTGACTTGTCCTAACCCTACATATTGACTTGTCCTAACCCCACTTAC